GTGGCAGGCTGCATTCATAATCTGGCCCCTATATACAGATGGCAAGGAGAGACTGAAGAAAGGAGACCACTGCAGATTGGTAGGTGGCAGTTTTAATAAGGGAACTTACTTAAGAGGACTGTCTTGGGTGGCCACAAGATGAGTAGATCTTTGCACCCACCTGCCAGAATCATAAAGTTTATATAGAGGCTTTAATTGAGCCCAATCTTGTGTACCATTCAGATGATCTCAAAAACACATTACTATTTCAAGGCTGTGTCCTTGGGGCAGCTTCTAGCTTTGGAAAGGGAGGTAAAATGCACATTTCATGGACAGGGAGGAGGTGAGGAGCCTCCAGTTGCCCAGGTCCAGCTTGCCTTTCAGCCAGTGGTTATGTCATTTTAGTGACCTCCTCCGACAGGCAGGCATTAGGAGCAGTGGGACTTCAGAGGAGGAAGTCATTCTTGTAATCATGTCCCTCACTGGCCAAAACCATACCCTTCCCACCCGACTCCATCTTAGACTTTTAGTCACAAATCCTGTCACTTCTGCTTCTTAAATATCTTTCATATCCTACCCACATTCCTTAGTTCAGACTTTTGTCATTTTTCACCTACATCACTGGTCTCAACGTTTTTGATCATTCACCTTATTAATACTAAATATTTGAACAGATATCCTCCAACACATGTATATATTTTTATAAAATATACTACATATCTGGTTATCAATACAAGATGGAAAAATGCTGACCATCATTACTCATTAGGAAAATATAAATCAAAAACAGGAGATACCACTTTATACTCATTAGAGTGGCTATAATTTAAAAAATCTTTCAAGGAAAATAATGTGTTGGTGAGGATGTGGAGAAATTACAACTTAGGTATGTTGCTGGTGAGAATATAGAATGATGCAGCTACTTTGGAAAATAATTTGGTGGTTCTTCAAATGATTAAACATAGATTTAACATGTGACCCAGCCATTCCACTCCTACTTAGATAGCAGGAGAATGAAAACATAAACCCACACAAAATCTTTTGCACAAATGTTCATAGGAGCCAGGGGTGGAAATGGCCATCAGCTCATGAATAGATGAATGAAATGTGATATTTCATGGAATGGAAATGGAATAATCTAAATGGAATATTATTCGGTTGTAAAAAACAGTGAAGTACTGGTACATCCTACAAAGTGGATGAACCTTGAAAACATTCCAGTAAGTTAAAGAAGGCAGTCATAAAAAGAAACGTGTGATTCCATTACAAAAGGATTTCTTTTAGGGAAACTAAAATGTCATAAAATTAAATTGTAGTGATGGTTGCACAACCCTGTGACTATACTAAAACTTATTGAATGGTAAATTGTATGGTATGTGAATTATCCCAATGCTGATCTTTAAAATTCTTCCCAGTGTATCATCTTGCTTGGCTTGCACACAACCCACTTTGAAAAACTCTGACAGACTATTTGTATAACCACTTGAGATCTCTCTTCCAGCAGTCTTGCTTTTCTCTAATCCATCTTTCACAGTTGTGGCTAAAATATGACTCATGTACTATCACTTAAACTTAATTGATTCACTTTCGCCAACATGATGCAATCCACACTCCTTGGCATCGCCTTAAATGGTTGACTACACGTTTCCAGAATAGATTTTGTATTCATTTCTTAGACATCTGCATTTAACATATATTGAGTACTCAGTAAACAATGAAATCATGTTGAAGTTATACAGAAGCTCACTAAACTGTTTGAAGTCTTTAAATCTCAGGGCACCTGGGTGGCTCAGTCATTAAGCGTCTGCCTTCAGCTCAGGTCATGATCCCAGGGTCCTGGGATCGAGCCCCGCATCGGGCTCCCTGCTCAGTGGGAAGCCTGCTTCTCACTCTCCCACTCCCCCTGTTTGTGCTCCCTCTCTCACTGTCTCTCTCTCTCTGTTAAATAAATAAATAAAATCTTTTTTAAAAAATAAAAAATGTCTTTAAATCTCTTAAACATAAAATGATAAAATCTTTCTGATGGTGCCTTCAATAATAGTTCAAACTCACTTAAAGCAGATGTTCTTTATTCTAAATTCCATATAGCTTGGGTTGAGAAGGCTACAGTATTTAGCAATTTGACTTGTAAGTTTCCCAGAAGATTCTTAGAAATGTCATTACCTTCTAAATCATCTGTGTACTTTAAAACAGTACAAAGGAAACAGTCTGAGCCCTCCCCTTTTTACCTCCCCTCCCCCCTTTTTTAAATCATTTATTCAGCTACTGTTTGCTGAAGAACCTATATATCAGGTACTGTATTAGGTATGTGGGCATTATAAAAATAGCTAAGATGATGGTCTTGGCTCTCAGCTAATGAGAACTTAAGGAATATGTTAAATGTTATTCGGGTACTATACAGAAACTATGCCATATACTATCTTTTCTGCTCAGTACTGCACACTGGAGGATTTGAGAAAAAGGAAAAAAATAATGTCCCTTTTCTGCCTTTAAAGAGCTTGTAATCAGTAAAGGAGATAAAATTCACACATAAGTAGTATAGACATTTAAGTGCTATAGTAATGCAGAAGTGGAAGAGATTGTGAGATCTGGAATAACACTGGTTTTCAGTGAGTATCAAATTTTGGCAAAGATATAGAACAATGTGAATTTTTAAGCCTACTATGGAAATGTAAACTGGTAGAAACACTTTAAGAAAACAGGTTAATGTCATCTTAAAGATGTGCCTATTCTAAAACCCCAAAATTCTGCATCTTAGTGATTACACTGTAGAGCAATTCTTGCCCATATTCACTAGGTAGCATATTCAATGTAGCATCATTTATAATAGCCTAAAGAAACCCAAAAACAACCTAAACATCCTTCAGTGAAATTCTAGTATGTCCTATACTTAAAAGGAAGAAACTAGGACATATATGTGAGTAAATTTTAAAAACATGTTAAGTGAGAAAACAAGTCACAAAAGGAAACCTATAAAGTATAAAAGCCTGTAGAACATACTCTCTATTTTTATGGATCTTTATATTTGTATAGGAGTAGCATAGAAAAAGAATTAGACAGGATACCTGGGTGGCTCAGTCGGTTGAGGGGCAGACTCTTGATTTCGGCTTAGGTTATGACTTCAGGGCTGTGAGATCAAGCGTGCTTAGTGGGGAGTCTGCTTGAGATTCTCTCCCTCTGCCCCTCCCCCCGTGCTCTGTCTCTCCAAAATAAATAAATAAGGGGGTGCCTGGGTGGTTCAGTCGGTTAAACGTCTGCCTTTGGCTCAGATCATGATCCCAGGGTACTGGGATGAAGCCCCACATCAGGCTCTCTGCTCAATGGGAAACCTGTTTCTCCCTCTCCCTCTGCCCTTCTCCTCCCCTCAACTCCCCACTTGTGCTCTTGATCCCAAGACCCCGGGATCATGACCTGAGCTCAGATTCATAATGTGGCATATTTATATACATATTGATAGATGATAGATAGATAGATAGATAGATGATAGATAGATAATATACTCTCACCTCATAAATTAAAATTAAGATTTTTCACCTCTAAATTATTTTATTAGATTTGAATTACAAGCTTAAATTGACAGATTTATTACACAGTTGCTTTAGGGTTTAAATTCTTCATCATCTGGCAACTATGTATGCTGATCTTGGATTTAGATAGTAATTTAAATTTATAAAAATGCCATATGGAAAAAATTCAGCTGGGAATTGTGATGATGATGTGTTGTACATGTTAATTTTTTACCTTTAACTCTGCTTGTGATCATCTAGAATGACATGAATTTGGGAAGCAGAAGGGGAACACTCTTCTTGTTTGTTTGTTTTTTAATGCCATGCCTTTTATGAGGAGTACAAATTGATATGTCCTAAAATAAGAATGTAATAAAGGAGGGAAATCCCTTTTGTCTGCTATTTTAAAAAAATAAATAAATTATGTTGTTATTATACAAAATATATTTATCACCTAGTTTAATCAGTTCCTCTTCATTTACTTTCATCCATTTATATCTTATTATACATGGAAAATTTATATTCAACAAGAATTTGGATAATATATATATGAAAGTAGAATAGTGAAAAAGCAGTCATACAATTAGAGAAGTACAAGAAAATTTCAGTCTCTTTGTTTCATTTTTAAAATGTTGCCATAGGGTTTGATAGTGTCTTTCATTATTGTAAGGCAATAAAAATGGTACCCCTAGAATGGAAGTTCTTTGACACAGGATCAACCATGTTGCGTTGGTGCATGGTGCCTAGAGTAATGCTGTTCAGGCAAGAATTGCTCTATAGGTACATTTAACTGAATTATTGCTTTGGATCAATAAGATTTTGAAGGAAGTCAGAACCTCTACTACTTTGGAGGGGAAAAGCATAGGTTGCTTCATTTCTTAGAATATTATCTGATAGGGATGCCTGGGTGGCTCAGTTGGTTAAGCGTCCCGCTCCACGGGGAGCCTGCTTCTCCCTCTGCCTGCCACTTGCCCTACTTGTGCTTGCTCTCTTGCTCTCTCTCTCTCTCTGACAAATAAATAAATAAAATCTTTAAAAAATATATATCTGATAGGTTACAGAGAATTATTTCTTGGTAGCATTGCTTGTCTCAAAAAAGAAAAAAAAAACTAAGCAGAGATGCTCTTCATTCATTGTGACAGATGGGGAAATTAGCAGCATTGCTGAGTGGACAGGAAATGGGAAAGCCAAATTTTGCGGGACTTTAAGGATAGGTACTTAACTGGTGCCTTGCCTATTGAAGTATTTCTTAGGAAGCCTGGTCTCAACTCCATGACAGCTACACATGATAAGGGGCTCTGAAAGTATTTGGCTTTGTAACAAGGGGACTGGTTGTCATTTTGCAAAGGTACATGTGAATACTAGCCTGAGAAATTTGGTAAGATGTGCAGCAGAGGCACATTGGACTGTTTTGATGAATTAAAGTCATTCATCATAAAGGATATTAAAAAGTACTCTATGATTTTTTTATTGATTTATTTTCCGGATGCTAAATAGCTTAATAATTTCCTGCAGGAGGAACAGCTGAAATCTCATGAAAGCAAGCTGAAGCAGATTACCACTGAGCTCGCTGAGCACCGCTCTTATCCCCCAGACAAGAAAGTTAAAGCCAAGGAGATAGATGAATACAGACTGAAAGATCACTATCTGGAGTTTGAGGTATGTTGAACCTGAATGTAATAAATGCCTATACCTAGATTATTTTATGATTTTTCCATGAGGCAATTTTTTTTCAGCTACCGTAACTATAGGAAGTGTACCTTGACCCTGACTCTAACCTGGGGATTCCAGGCATGGTCTAGATCATGGTGGCCTCTCATGTTCGAATCCCTAGAGGAATGTCACTCTGCCTGTTTCAAGCACTTGTCAATGGGCTGTAGGTAGTAAGGAAATTTAATACTTTTTCTTCTGCCTTTGTTTCCCACATCAAGTGGCATTCCTTTCTTCAGCAGTTGCCTTGATTTTCCTCTACAACTACCACCACAATTTATCTTACGAATAAAGTCCTAATCCTTAATTTAAGAGGATTTGGGTTCTTTCTGTGTTTCTACCACACTGGTCTTTCCACAACAGCCTCCATGTATGTTAGTCACATTTCTGCCCACTCTCTCTGAGCACCCTTTATGCCTTTATGCCTTTGTTCATCTACTTTCTTCTGCCCCAAGTGCTCTTCCCCTCATCTTCATTTCTGAAAGTCCTGTTCATCTTTCAAGATGCAGCTCAAATCCCTCCTGATGTAGTTTTGGAATGTTGTTGGGGTCCAGAGCCAATGGCCAAGAAAGAATTCTTGAGATGTCTTTGGTGCAAAAAAGGTGATTTTATTAAAGCATGGGGACAGGACCAGTGGGCAGAAAGAGCTGCAGGACTGGGGTTGTGAGGAATGGCTGATTATATACTTGGGAGTTGGGGGAGGTAAGGAGAAAGTGAGGTATCCAAAAGGACTTTCATATGCTAAAGAAGACTCTCAGGATGCTGGAGGTCTGGCTATTGTTATGTTAAGGTGGTTTTTCCTTCTAGTAAGGTATTAACATTAAGATAGTTGGGAGTTTTCTGGAGGAATGTTATACTCTGCCTATTTCAAGTATTTGTCAATGGGATGCAAGTTATAAAGAAATTTAATTTTATTTCCGTTCCCTTTTGCCTTTGTTTCCCACATCACTGTGGAGGGGAGGGTGATATTAGGGCTCCGTGAAATTGAGTCTAGGGTTTCTGAAAGTTAGGCTATTCATAAGACTGCTTTTTCCTTGTAAATCACTAAGACATTTATAAACTGATAGGGACTCATACCCTGTAGGGCTGTGATCTCTATTAGTTAACCATTTGATTTTTTTCCCTTCCCTTAGTTTTAGGGCAGCCAGGAATGCCCGAGGAATGTCACACAGATCCCACCTTGGGGGGAGGATGGTTGCTGGGTGTCCGCTTGTGCTTTATCCTCCACTTGCCTTCTGCTCCCTCATCACCTCCTATGAAAAGCCTACTCTAAATCTATTAGCTGGGTTTAATCTGTTGCAGTCTTTGCCACAGTTGGCTTTATATTAAAGTTTTTCAGTATGTCTTTGTATCTATAGTAGATTCCACTAACACCTCCCCTTGCTCAAGATGGTAAGGCCTTGGAGTACAGAGACCTCAAGTTCATTTCTAATCTTTGCTTCATGTTTGCATATTGAATTGGACAGGATCTCATGGAAGCTTAAAAAAAGTATCTTCCTGAGTTATAAAATTTCCGTTATAAGATGTGGCATTTGATCCCTGCAGGTCCAGGGACTGGTTTCTTCATGGTTCGAGCAAGCCCTTGCTCTGGGGAGATGAAGAAAAACCATTATTTTAGTAAAGGTTAAAGTTTATTAGCAAAAACTGTGGAAGCCTTGATGTGATTTGAAGTGGGGTTCGGGAACAAACGGTCAAGAAAGAATTCTTGAGGCGTTTTTGATGCCAAAAAAAAAAAAAGATGGTTTTATTAAAACACAGGGACAGGACCCATGGGCAGAAATAGCTGTACCGGGATTATGACGAGTGATTGCTTGGGAGGGGTAGAGACAAAGGAAGTTTCCCAAAAGGATTTTTGTATGTTAAAGAAGCCTTAGGGATCCTGGAGGCCTAGCTATTGTCAAGCTAAGGTTGTTTTTCCCTCTAGCAAAGCATTAAAATTAAGACAGTTGAGAGTTCCTTGGAGGAACTCATTCTCTGCATATCTCAAGTCTTTTGTCAACGGGCTGCAAATTTTAAGGAAGTTTAATTTTTTCTACATTTCTTTGCCTTTTTTCTCCACATCAGCCTCACCAGCAAAAGACTTGAAAAATATTTTTTAAAAAACAAACAAAAAACCTAAGCAGCTCATCTTTGTTTCCCTAGGCTTGTTCATTCTTGAGAAATGGGAGTATCTCAAAAAGCAATCATAATTCTTCACACTTCTAGAGTGGCTTTCAGCTATAGGCCCTTTTATTTTCACACATGCTAATTAAATTTCCCAACACCTCAGTCCCCTGTTTCTAGTACTCAACAATTTACTTTGAGCCCTTGACTTTGAAGGCTAAAAGCCTGTTCCCAGGAGGTGGGGGTGGCTGCAAGACCATGGAAAGGTTGTCACTGCAAAAAGCACTCCTTATTTTTTAACCTACTGTGGTACCCTTTTTCCAAAAATGTAACCTAACAAGAACAGCATTTTCATTTAATGACATGGAACTTAGACCAAGCTTTGTGGAGATAAGTCTTGCTTTCATCACACTGTCACCTCAAGGAACCTGAAGACTGTATTCCACAACCCCTGGCTCATTAAAATCTATACTCATATGCTAATATGTCAGGCATGTTGGATTGTCTCTTAAGCTGCCTTAACCTGTGTCTACCAGGAATGTAGAAGGGTAGATGCTATCTAAACAGGTTTTTGTAAAAGTAATCCTTTTTAAAAAGTGAACTATTATTTTCCATTAATTTGAAGTAGTATAACTTGTGGAGTCCACTTTGCTATTCTTTCAGCCACCAGAATTTTTCGTGTGTGTGTGTGTGTGTGTCTGCGCACACACACACACTGATGGAGATCTTTTGTGTAGCATTAAGTACTCTGCTTTATGAACAGCATTCCCTGAGCAGACTGCTTCATCCCCTAATTGAATCTAATCTCATTCCCTGAATAGGGAGTGTGACAGTGATTGATCATTTTTTATATTTTGTTCACTGCTCTGTCCTCACTTTCTGGGGCATGCAAATGAGTGCTCAATACATATTTGTTGAATGAATGAATGGAATTTTATTATTGTATATAAAAGATAACATCAAAGAAAGTAGTTCCCTGAGACAGCTTGGTAGGTCCCCTGAAAGCACATCTGATAGGCAGGTGTCAACAGACAGCAACTTCTGTAGTTCAGTGTGAACCGCAAATGGGCAGTGACAGGAAGGGGAGTTTCAATCCCATCGGCATCCTGTCACCAAGAAGAATCATAGTCAGAAAGAAACTCTTTCACCTATTCCTGGAGAAAGGGCCTCCCTGTGGTTTCAGAACACAGAAAATTCTTATGATTTTTCACATCTTCATAAAGAAAAATGCTTTTATTTTGTTAGAATATTAAGCTTTTAGTAATTACACTGGGAATTGTTTCTAAATTTATGCATTTCGGTTGTTTATATCCCAAGTTGCTTTCAATACAACAGTTCTTCATGGTGGGCTGAATTCACAGCTCTTTCTGTGCCTGAGAAATATTCTCTATGTCCATTGACTAATGAATGGATAAAGAAGATATGGTATATATGGGGTGTATGTGTGTGTGTGGTATATATATATATATATGGTGTATATGTGTATATATATAGGGTATATATTTTCTTTACATATATATATATATAAAATAGTGGAATAGTGGAATATTACTCAGCCATCAAAAAGAATGAAGTTTTGCCATTTGCAACAATGTGGATGAAGCTAGAGTGTATTATGCTAAGTGAAATTAGTCAGTCAGAAAAAGACAAATACCATATGATTTCACTCATATGTGGAATTAAAGAAACAAAACAGATGAACATGGGGAAAAAAAGAGAAGCAAACCAGAAAACAGACTCTTAACTATAGAGAACAAACTAAGATTTGCTGGAGGGGAGTGGGCAGGGGAATGAGCTAAATGGGTGATGGGTATTAAGGAAGGCACTTGTGATAAGCACCAGGCATTATATCTAAGCGATGAATCACTAAATTCTACTCATGAAACTAATATTATACTGTATGTTAACTAACTAGAATTTAAATGAAAACTTCAGAAAAAAACTGCCTGTTACTGCCTCCTAATTTTTCTAGAAGCCTTTGTCTTAGACTGCTACCAATAAATGCCAAAAAAAAAAAAAAAGAAGAAAAGAAAGAAATATTCTCCAAACTCTGACTGACAGTAAGTCACTAGAAATTGTACTAAGTAAAGTAGGTTCAGGGTTTGTTTCATTGTTTTTGTTTTTTGTTTTAAAGTCTATAAAAAGTCTACAGTGAGCAAGGAGAGTGGAAGTTCCATTTATCTTACTAGCCTTAGCCTGTAAGAAATAGATTCTTGTTTACTTAAAGCAACAAACTTCAATCAGAATTGGTTGTAATTGACTAAATCCATGCCTGTTTCTCTATTGACTGTTAGTGGGGAAGGGCAGATGTTTTGTTTTTTATAGGATTGGTACCCCCAAACTATGGCTGTTAATTCTTTGGAAAAATTCACTTGGAACCTAAACATACTTTTGAAAGAGCTGTTAGACATCACAAGTTTCTGTTAAGAAACTCAGCGTCATTTTCCAATTTTAAAAAATAAATATCAGAAATAGCCTCACTTCTTTATAAATTATTTCTACTTTATTCAGTTCCCATTTCACTTAAAATTATGTCTAAGTTGATCTCCATGCTTCTGGTGCATTTGGAAATTGATTTCAAGATATAAGCAAGATGGATGATTTGTATCAAATATAAAAACTTACAAAACTCCAGCCAGTGAAAGCACAGTAGGCTGAGCTGTGACAGGAAACTCCTGGGACATTTAAGAAACAACCCTGTTAAAGAGATTCCTTTGATAGCATGCTAGCCCCATAAATTTTGATTTGTTTCTTCAACTTTAAAGACAATAGCAAGTAGAAAATGAAGATACTATTTACACCAAGATGTTTTTCGTGTAACAATTAGAGTGTTTTCAGAGGAGGAG